GTATGATCTCTACACTATTTGTGCTTTAAACGTCTTGAAGGATTTCTAGGAATAGTATTTGTTGAGATAGCTTTAATAAACGGATTGAAATGAGAGGCTAGACGATTGTAAAATCTGCTATAGTAAATTATTGCTTCTATAGACAGATTTAATTTTCAAATAAGTGTGGAGGGTATAATTTGAAACATATAAGAGGGAGTTCATTAGTTTTCTTAATGCAATGTTTTTAAAAACCTGAAGTCGGTTTATATTCGATTTTTTAGCATTTCCCCAGAGTTGGAGACCATAAGTCCAAATGGGTTTGATGAGATATTTATACATTAGTAGTTTCATATTTAGGTTTGTGTGTTTGTTATTCATTAGTAAATTTTTGAGCATATGAAGTCGGTTTACCTGAAGTCTTTTTTCACGCGTATGAGCCCAGGTGAGTTAGGGATCTAGGGTTAAGCCGAGGTATTTTACAGTCTGAGTAGATGGAATTTGAGTATCAAAGATAGTAACGGCTGGACAATGTCCGAGCTGAAGAATAAAGGTTGTGTGATTTGATTTAGTTTGATTGACCTTAATCCTCCAATTATTATATTAAATCTCCATAAGGGAAAGATGATTTTGCAGATTATGTGATGTGACAATTGGGTCACAGCTTAATTCAATCTAACCAGCTTAATTGTTCAAACAACTTGTCACTTACAAGTCTTTTTGACTTTTAAAATTATAAAATAATAATTCCGAATGATAAGTAATGCAATGAGATGGAAATTTAAACTTTAAGTTATTTTTCACTGTTAAGTATATTTGTAATTTTATATTTATAATTTGAATTTTCTAATAATCATATTTACCGCAGTACCTGTAAACAGTTCATTTATATAAGTGTGTGTGTGTGTATGATTATTTAGATTAATGCAGCCATTACTCATTGGAGGACTGTTAGCATATTTCAACCCTGATAAGTCCAACAGCACAGATTTAACTCATGCCTACATGTGTGCATCCGGTTTAGTGTTAAACATGCTAATTTCACTGGTTATGTATCACGCCATACAAATAGAAGTATTAAATTTTGGGATGAAGATGCGAATTGCTTGCTGTTCAGTCATATTCAAGAAGGTAGATAGATATATTGATATATTGATATACTAGATATATAGTATAGAAAGAAATCCAAATATGGAAATTTTATCCACACTTTTAACCACATATATTTTACTCAATTTATTTCTTTTGTCAACTTGTTAAATTAATTTAGTTTATACACAACGAACATAAATCAAAACTTCTTCTTCTTCTTCTTCGTAGTTGACGGCCTTTAAGACCAAACTAACAAACATATGTCATGCCATCTCTCTCTAACCTCTGCTAGGACTCACCAATCACCATCCTGTTCAACCCGCTCTACATATTTTGGCACCGGGTCTTCCCACCTCAACCTAAAATGGGCGATAATCCATCTCCTTGTCTTCATCTTGTTCTTACTTGGGCTGCTGTCGATAAAGAGTTTCGTACCTGTACTTTTATTTCCGTATTTATGGCGCTTGACTTTATGAGATTGACTAATTTTAGTGAAAGACCATATTGCTCTAGTATAGCCATTTAAGATTCACGATGAATGCAATTATATACATTTTTAAAATCAATAAATATCATGTGAACTTCTTTATTAAATTCTTTCATCTTTTGTAATATTAGTCTTAATATTAATATTTGGTCAATCGTTGATTTATTTTTCCTAAAGCCTGCCTGGTAGTCTCCCAGTAATTCCTCTGCCCATAGTCTCACTCTGTCTAAAATGCAGTTTGTCAATATTTTATACGTGACATTAAATAGAGCTATACTCCTGTAATTATTGCACAATTGTTTATCCCCGTTCTTGTAAATTGGATAAATAATTGCTGTTTTCTAATCTTCCGGAATCTCCTCCTTTTCCCAAATTTCCTTCATCAACAAATATATGTACTCAGTTAGTTCATTTCCTATGTTCTTTAACAGTTCCCCGATAATCCCATCTTCTCCAGGGGCTTTGTGGTTCTTTAAATACCTTATTTGCATTAAAATCTCTTCTTTTGTTGGGGCTGAGGAATTTGTTATGTTTCTCGGTGAATCATCAAATGGGAATGGATTTTCAGGTTCTGTACAGTTTAAGAGCTCGCTAAAGTATCAAACCCACTTATTTGATATTTCATCATCAGTCGTAATTAATGTACCGCTTTATTTCTTAGAAATTTCTCGGCTGGCTTGTAATTTTCCCTCATATCGTTTATCTTCTTGTATAAGTTACGAGTTTTGTGATTTGCATAGTCATGATCTGCTTCTCTTATTATATTTTGTACGTGTTTTTTTTTTCTCGCATCTAAGTATATTACTTGCTTCCCTTTGTCTAGTCTTGTACTATGTCAATGTTTCCTTATTATCCGTATCGTTTAGCCAATTATTCTTTGCGATCTTTCTCCTTTGTATATCTTCTTCGCAGATTTTATTGAACCACGGTTTATTTACTCGGCGTTCTCTACCTATCGTCTCTTCGGCTGCATCTTGAATTATACTTTTCAGATTTTTCTATCTTTCCTCGATTCCTTTATTTTCCCACCCTACTGGTTGGGGTCTTATTTTTTTCTATCTATTCGTGATAGGTATACATCACGAATAGTGGGCTCATCGAGTTTTTGAACATCAAAACGCCCTTTAGTTCCTATTTTCTTTAAACTACGTGTCTTATTGAGTGTAACTTTCAATTTACCCACCACTAATATATGGTCTATATCACATTTAGCTCCTCGTGCACTTTCAACGTTTATCACTGTGTTTTGTAAATCTTGAGTTTACCTGGTAAACTTTACCATCACATGATCTATTTGATTGATATATAGTCCGTTAGGGGACCTCCATATACCTTTATGAATATTTTTGTGTTTAAACATAGTGTTTTTTTATTCTAATGTCTCTTTCAGTGGCAAGAGCTACTATTCTACATCCATTGTTATTCGATCTTCATGTAAGCTATGAATACCTATTATAGGTCTTAAGTAATTTTCTTTCCCAATTTTCGTATTGAAATCTTCTAGAATAATTTGAATGCAATTTGCTAGTATGTCATTCAAGACATTATTAAGTAATGAGTAAAATTCACCTTTCTCTACTTCCTCCTTTTCCTCCGTTAGAGCATGTACATTTACAAATGCTATATTGAACCATCTGGCTGCTATAGTCAGCACAGTCATTCTAGGACTTATTACTTTAAAATCTTTTACCGAGTTGAGGTATACTTTTTTTACAGCGAAACTGCTCCCTCCTAGATATCTATTATCATATGCTCCATAGAAGAGTGTAGTATTTTTTAATTGCATTGATCCAGTGTCACTCCATCTTAATTCTTGTAGTACATCAATTCCAATTCTATACTTCTCCACCTTATCTACCAATGTTCTAAATGTGCTAGATTTAAATAAAGTCCGTATATTCCAAGTACCAAAACGTAGAGCCGATTTCCAATTTTCCAGTATAGGGTCCTGTAATCCACTAATCCGAGGCATTGTGTTTGTGTCTTGAACAAAGTTTATTTTTACAGTGATGGGTTGTTAGCAGTGTTGGGACTTATCAAGATAATTGTCTGTATTTTATCAAGATTAGAATTATTTTTATTATTGTACAGAGACGAATCCAACAAATTAGAGATCATCAAAATCGGTCTAGTCGTTCTTGAATTATAAATTCTGTAAATAACCTGACTTTCTTTTATACGTATAGTTTTTGTATTCATAATCATAATTCGTATATTAATAATAAGTAATTATTATTTCATGGTATTTAATTTTGTTTGTATTTTCATGTCTGAAAAATATTCATTGTATTTTTAAACTTAATTTCATATTTTTCCATGGAGTTTCCAAATATAGTAGTTATTTGAATTTAGTATACACATGTTACTCATACGCAGAATAGTCATAACTTCACTCTCGGAATCCGTTAAGTCGTAACTACTTATAAAATAATGAAAATCATGAAATTAATATTATATGGAAAACAATATTGTTAACTTAAAATAATTTTTTATGTATTCTGTATTTATCCTGATACGTACAGAGCAATTTTAATTTTTTTTTTTCTATGTATTATTTTAGTGATTAACTTTCATTATACATTATAATATAATATTATTATATTTATATATTATATAAATACTGCTTAATGTTAAAATACATTACTACAGTAAACATTAAATACCTAGGTACCTATTGATAATAATGATTATAATCAGGGACGTATTTAAGGGGTGGCCCATGGGGCCCGTGCCCTTCCTCTCATTCACTGTATTTTATACCTTATTTATTATTGTAGGCCCTCTTATTTTTTACTTACGGACACACGGTGTAATACTGGAATATCAATATATCATGATAATATGATACCATCGATTAAACGGATAAGCATTGTTTAATATACACCCTGAAATAATTATAAAACCTGAAGAAGTAGTTGATGCATAGGTGTAGCTAAGATTTAAATCAGGGGGGGGGGGGAGAAACATAAAGCGATTAGTGTTAAACTCATAATTTAAATAATCTACAGATAGACCATAAGATAACACATAGAACGTCAAAACGATTACACGTGTAGATAACTCTCGAACCCACTAAACTATTTTTTAGACTTATATCTTATTTAATTTTTGATTTTAATGTAAAACATACACGTTTGGTATAAACAAATATTATTGAGTTTGAGGCGCAGGGGTGGGAAAGTACACAGAGGGGACCCATCCTTGCTACACCCATGAGTTGATGCATATGCTAATAAACACCCTTGATGTCTTCAGTTATTATAATTACAAAAATTATATTTAAAAATATGTTTTATTATATATTTGTGTAATAAAATGTTATGTTTCCATCAAACACTTGTATTTTGATTATTTGGTTATGAACAGGACATGTAATATAAATAATCAGTAAATAATTAATAAAAATATTAAGTTTAATGTCTTAATTGAAATCAATATTTATTTTTTACTCCAGGCTTTACGATTAAGCAACACGGCTCTTTGTGAAACCACTGCGGGTCAAGTAGTAAATTTGCTATCAAATGATGTCAGTCGATTCGATGTAATAGTATTATATCTGAACTATCTATGGATTAGTCCTCTGCAAACAATTATAATCACGTACTTTTT